GCCATATACTTTCTAAAAAAGTTTAAATAGAATTCACCAACAACACTGAAAGTCCGAGGCACTTTCGTTTTAGTATCTGGTATGGTCACAACAACCGAAGTGCCCAAATATTCGATATTGTCGATGGTCATCTGACACAATTCCTCCCGGCGACACGCCCCGAAGACACCCACTATTGCTGCGACTTTCATCATCAGATACTTTTCGTCTTCTGCTTCTGTGAGAAATTTGTCGATATGCGTCTTCGTCAAAACTTTTGACTTTTTTGCTTGATATCCTTCACCCTTCCGTTTTAAAAAAGCAATAAGTTTATAATGTTTGCTTATATCTTGATCTTGCTTTATTTTTAACATAGTTTTGATCATGGAATAATTTGACCACAGCGTTGACGATTTCCATATCTTGGCTTTTTCCTCAAAATATGCCAGTAAAACACTTTCGTTACATTTCCCAGGGACCTTTTTAATGTTGCACCATTCCGAAAAGCGTCTATAAGCGATTTCGTACTGTTCCTTTGATTTCGCCGGCAATAATTCCAATGTTGCTCNTGATAGGGCCAGTCCGTTTCTGGACACCTGATAATAGCAAAAAGTTGATTTTAGCATCAAATCGTAGAGCTCCATGTGTAATACAACGTACGAAAATTTTATTAAAATATACAGGGTGGTTTCAAAGTTATAACCCTAAACGTTAATTTCTAGGTACCCCTTTGACCCCCCATAACTCCGTTAGGGGGCACATTAGGAAAAAAAATTATAGGAAGGACTAGTTTTATTTTGACCTCCCCTATACACTCCCGAGAGTTTAGGAGGTACTTACCGGACACCCTGTATACAATTGTTGGATAAAATAAATAACCTAGTTTTTTTCAAATAATTTGAAAACTATTTTTTTAGAAACGTCAAATTTGATACACATATTTTTTTGTATAAGGGCAATGCAAATATAGAATTTGGTGAGAACAAACATACAGGATCTTCTCTTTCTAGTGCCTGTGCGCCACTGGCTATTCCGGACAACAAATTACGGTTAGAACTATTAAGCTGGAGAAACAAATTTTAGAAGGAGTCGAAGTTTCGCAAGTAAAAGGCGTTTAGCGGCAGAGGTTGGCGTTTCAAAAAATTTCGTTAATAGAATATTAAAAGACCAGTTATTACATCCATTCTACTTTCAATCAGTTCAAGAACTTTTACCAATAGATCCTCCGTCACGTCTTGCTTTTAGTCAAAGTATTCGCGAACTCAGAAATAGAGACGATAATATCCACAAGAAAATCCTGTTTACAGACAAAACCGCTTTTACTAGAAGAAATATTTTTAATTCACATAATGAACATGTTTATTGTGATGAAAATCCACATGCAATCGACCCCAACATGAATTTAAAATAAATATTTTGGCTGATATTATTGGTAATGTTTTAATTGGCCCTGTTATATTACCTGCTAGATTGAACCCACAATCATAAAATTATTTAGAATTTTTCCAAACGAGATTACCCTATCTGCTTGAAGAGTTACCGACAGCACTACGAATGAATATAATTTTCATGCATGATGGGGCTCCTCCCCATTTTGCATTATCGGTAAGGCAATACTTAGATGAGCACTATCCTAACAGGTAGATAGGTAGAGGAAATAATGCCCCGTTATGACCACCTCGATCCCCGGACCTACACTCACGTGATTATTTCCTTTGGGGAGCGTTGAAGATCACAGTTTATAGCTTTCCAGTAAATACAGAAAACGAATTACGGGAAAGAATACAAATAAAAGTAATATTATGGGAGGTAGGTAATGCACAATTATTGGATAAAATTCATTTTAATTTCCTAAGAAGAATTATTGCTTGCGTTCAAGAACAAGGAGGTCACTTTGAGCATTTAGTGTAATATCATTTTAATGTGATTACAAATATCAGTTTAGGTTTATTTAAAATGTTAGTGTTGATTTTCTTATATTTTAGTTGATATTGTTTATTTAAAATAGTAGTGTTGATTCTTTATTTTATTGATTGATAATACTAAGACTAAAAAAATGTAGTTAATTTAGTTTTTTTAAAGGGAAAGTTTTTCAATAATAATCCCCGCCTTGAAGCCGCAAGTAAAAAATAATTTTTAAGAACTAAGGAAACCAAATTTTGCCCAAAATTAAAAGAAAAAAAAAATGCCAATTTTACTCGAAAGCCATAAACGATATCAAAATTTTGTAAGAGGCAAAAAATCTTCTAAAATAGTGCTTACTTTTAAAAATGTAATTTGTGTGTCATTGGCGTACATATAAAAATGTTACGGGACAGCCAGTGGTGCCAAATTCTATATTTAAATTGCCCTTATATAAATAAACAAGTGTATAAAATTTGAAGTTCTAAAAAAAATAATTTTAAAATTATTTGAATAAAACTTCTGTTCTACTTGTATATTTAGAAGACTATATCTCAGTAGGCTAGGTATAAGTTAGGCTGAATAGTCTTATCCAAGGAACTTGTGGTAGCAACTAAAAATCCCTAAACCTCAGTGGTTTCATCAATGTGAACTATTAACGTGAATTTAGTAGGTATTACACTTTAGAGAAATACTTCGAATTGTTTCATTCAATATGTCATTCATGACATATTCTGTATGTACAGTTGGTTTGCCCTTAGATTTTCCTTAGCAAACCCAAATTTTTTGACGAAATCATATTTTCGGTTTAAGAAAGTGTCATACTCGGTGTTTGCGTCTGGAAATTGCTCAATGCAGAATATCCATGAGATATGGAAATAAAGAAAGTATATCCATGACTTCGAAAATGACCCATTGCAATAAAGTCAACTTGCTCTGGAGTAAGTAATAAGTATTAATCTCAAAATTTTATTTGCGGTAAAAGTTTACCTGTGAAAACAAATGATTAGTTTGACATATATGTATACGATTTAATATTGAAGCAAAAGGAACAATAAAACGATGGAAGCAGATAAATTCAAATGATAACATACACGGACAACGGACGCTACTGAATAAGGCACAAATCATTTCAAACAAAATTGTTAACGTGACTTGTGATCATTTATGTCAATTTTAGCAGTAAAGTAGTAGGTATGTAACAACACATTCACAAACTCTTTCGGATATACATATAAACAAACTGAAGAAACTATGCACGAACAATTCTTTATTTGCCTATAATTACAGCCATAACAAAACATGTGTCATTTTCACATCCTTCCAGTTCTAATTATCGTTATCCTTCATCTCACTGCACCTTTACGACGCATGCCAAATCCCGCACTTCTCTTAGCCTCATTTGTACAGACTGGAACAAATCATTTAACTCTATGTTTGATAGTATCAGTACTTTGGTCGTAAAGGACTCCACAGAATTTGGGAGGGCTGCAACAGGAAGTTCCAAGTCGACACCTTGCCGGTAATTTACCTCAAAATTCATGTAAGTTTAAGTCAACTATTAATCTGAACTATAGTGAGTGTAAAATAATTTTTACGCACGGAAAAATGCATTGTTGAAGATGGAAAATTTATCATTTATCTCTTTATTTGTTTATTTTTTTAGTAAAGCCTTAAAGCGACAGCGACAGTGTATTTTACACAGCTCGCAGCATAGTTTTCTTTCTTAAACTTTTTAATGATAACAAAATTTCAATATAAAATACGTTGAACTTAATATTTTGGTCAAATTTTTTACAGGAAAGATGTCGAAAACTATCAAAATGTTGAAATTTTAATTATACTCTTTGGTTCCCTATTGGATTTTCCAATGTTTCTTTACTCGTTGGCGCTTGCAAGAAAGTTTCTATTTTTTAATTTAAAAACGATACTTGGCAACCTAGAATGAAAATAATTATTTACGAACGAATAATGCGTTGTTAAAAATAACAAAACATGATTAAAAACACGTCAGTTCTAGTTTAAGTACCTGAAAACATTTTATTTGTACATATTTTTAGTATCGTCCTAAAGGTGGTATTACAAAGCAAGCGACAGCGACAGTGATGACGAAGCATTATCTTTTATCGATTAAAGTTTTGTAGTGCAGTATTTTTTTCTTAAACTTCTTAAACAGTAACAAAACTTCAATATAAAATACGTTGAATATTATTTTTTATTGAATTTTCAGTAAATCTTCCGAAACTTTTATTGAGTTTTGAAAAATGAAACAAGACACATATTATCCGTAAAATTTTCAGTGTAATGCCTATACGTGGTACATAATAGGGCCCTAGAGTGACTGTTACAATCACAGTTCACTAGATAAACCGTCAATCGAACAGAGCTTCCTTGTATTCTATTAACGTTACAGCGACCGTTGATTAGAATTGATTGGATTAGACTTTGGTATTAATACATCCATTTAGTAGGTGCAGACATGTGCTCACTACGATTGTTAACAGCAGATAGTAATGATACATCGCGTTAGCAGTTAATTAACGTACATAGTTCTCTTGCATTATGAATACCTTACAAGGTGGACAACTGAAACCTATCATGTTGAGTATATTTGTGTGTGTAGTGACTATTTATGAAATGTTTATTTCTGACATATCCAATAGGAAAAATAAAAATATCAAATGAATTTACTGTGCAGTTAAATCGTTCTCCTTCCTCTTCTTCAGCAAACAATTTCACGCAAACCAAAATATTAATTGCGCAATTATCACCTTCACTTTCGTGGGAAATCGACAATTTGGAGCCAACCAAAAAGCCATTAAGACCATCGAAATTCAGCATAGGAAGAAAACCTGAGACAAAGCGCGACGGCCAAAAAAACAAACTCTTCCTCGCTAGACTCGCCGTCACCAAGGGTGGTCCTTTGCTCGGGCGGCTTAGAGAGACTTCCTTCAACACCATAACTCCACCCATGACCCGACCAGCCAATCCCCACTGTGCTGGTGAGTAACAAAAGAAAGCTCGATGGTACGAGCCGCAACGCCCCATCCCATGAGCTAAGACCCACACGGTCATCAATGTTGGCTCTGGTCAGTTTACGTCAAGTAAGACTCCAAGTACGATCGTCTTTTGTTGGTTGTTTCAGTAAGGTCTAGTGGTTTGCCGGTGGTTAGTTTTCGGTGGTTGTGGTGTAATTCGGGCTTAACTATCTAGTGCGCGGAAACCCGTTGGGTTTTTGGGTAATTTTGGTGGTAAATGGCCGTATCTGCGCTGAATATGTCCCCGTATTTTACTGGATATCCGTTTCAAGGTATGTGACTGGGGCGGTAGTCATTTAGTGATAGGAATTTTACTATGTTTTTGAAAGTCTTGATATTTAAAACGATATTTTTCAGTTCATAAATAGATATTATTTATACACATATTTCAAATTTCACTTTCAACCGCACAAAATTTTTTATTGCGTATGTTTTGATGGAAAAACTTTCTTAATTCAAAAACTATGGCGAGAAAATATATTGGATATGTAATTTTATCTTGAACAATATTTATCAAAGTTAGAAATTATGCTTCTGCCGAATTTTTTAAGTTAAACTAATAAGAAAGTTGCTAATAAACTCGATATTTTCAATAAGGGGCTTGTTTTTCTCGAATCCCTTCTTTTGTTTTCTTTCCAATCACCTCTAGATGATGTTATTAGCATCGGATGACTTCAAGTTAAGAAAATCAATTTATTTTTTAACTTTTTACTGAAGTTTTTTAGTATACTTCAGTAAAATCAAGTAGTTCATAAAATAATAAACAGAAATTACTGTGCCTTTAATAGATTCTTTCATATGCGATTTATGCAATCTAAGAAAATTAAATTGCTTGAACTAGCTGTTTCCTTGCTTCTAATTTCACTTTTGTCAAACAATAATAAAAAAGAATTAAATATTTGATTTTTGATAAAAATAGCTGAAGTTGAGTAATTTTTGAACTCCCAATTGCAATCCTAATTGATGATCCCATACTCCTATGAAAGTTGGGACATGAAAGTGGTTAAACGTAATTAATAGTTGCTAATTGCATAACCACAATTTATGCATGGTACATGTTTGTTTTATCAACATTTGTCAGATCTGAGAAAGCACTAAAATAAACAAACAGTCCCACGCCTGTGCTAGAAGAAAATGTGAAGATTTTTCTTTGCCTATGACATGACGGAAAGTATCAAAACAGAATCACGTTAACGATTATTCATCTAAAAAAATTTCCATGTATCACTTAAAGTTTTTGCTCTAAAATAGTTTTAGGTAAACTTACAATCTACTTGAAATTAATGTTCCTTATTTGCATTTCCCTGAATGACTCTCTACTCTTTTAAATGAATTTGTTTGTTTCTTGAAAAATCTGTTTAATTTAAATATTCAAATATCTGTAGATTGCTAATACTTGCCACTTTTGACGTGGGTACGTTGAAAAAATTGTTTGTAATCACGTTTTCCTTGTGTTCGTAATTTATGTTTATAGTCTATAAATTTCAGGACAGTTTTAGATATTAAGACACCAATAATTTTGTTTACGAATTTCCTGGCACCTTTTCGGAAGGGTTATAGAGATTGTGGTCAAATTTAAAACTATCTATATCTATAATTTATCTTACAGTCAAATGTTTTAAGATATTAATTATTTTATTGAGGGCATACCAAAACTTTATGCAGATGATGATATACTTTCTTTTTATCACACCAATATCAATTGTAGTACTAAAATTTCACTTGAATTTGTATCTATTACTGATACAGGCATTTTAGAAACTGTTTCTGAGATTAAACTTGCAATGAAATCAATGTACTGACAATTAATTTGTGTTTACCTTACCTCCATTTGTCACATACTAATTTTTCTTTAAAGAACTCTCTATTCCTATCATCCTTATATTTTTAGTTAAAGTAAAATGTTAGTTAAAGTTAGTTATCTACAATTTATAAAAAAAGTAATGGATTTATAAAAAAGGAAGACATTTACCTATTAATAATATTATCCCTAAATATCGATCAGGATTTAAGACTAACCATAGTTGTTATTATAAAAAATTTGGGTAGATTTTCACCCAAAATCAACACAATTTTTTGTTAAATCAGGTCTACAGTCAATTGTGTTGAAATAACACTATTAGTTGAATAATGTTAACTCAAGTATTGTTAGATAAATAATTCTTATATAACATTGATTCAATTCTGGATTGTCTTGCTAAATTATAAGTGTCATATGGGTACAGCATAGTGCACCAAATAGCAACTAAAATCAATTCCCAATTACAACTAAATAAATGGATTGTTTTCTGACAGCAGAGGCCGAAATGCGCGTCGGTATCTTCTTGTACACAACTTTGTATTCACCCTATTCAGACATGCGTAATATTAACAACGAATAGAGTGATTTTTATAACGTATGTTCTCATTGTCACATACTTTGGTCTTTCTAACCAAAAATTGTGTTGTTTAGCTCATTTTATTGTTAAAATCTTAATTTGATTCAAAATTCTATTCCAAAGTAATTTTTAATTTACATTGTGCTATTTTTTAATGTGTATCTAAATCACGATAAAAACAATTTTTATTAATTTTACTCGACTATTCAAATTGTTTGATACTCTTAATAACAAATTCGTTCTAGCTATTTTAAAATTTAGCGGATTTTCGTTCAACTGTTATCTAATTATTATTTAAAGAATGCAAGGAATGTTTATATTATATAATGGTATAATGTCTCAGGTATTAAATGTTAGAAGAGGAGGTCCTCAAGGTTCTGCATTAGGGCCCTTGCTATTTACAATTTACGCTTCAAATTCCCTTGTAGTATTTTTATTCTGTACTCAGTACTTTGTTCCAGTTGCTCCTTGAGTTTATCCTAATTCAAACAACCCTCCTCTCCTATATTCATACACTTTTCCCAACGATGTTTCCATTTCGCGAAGCAGCCTTGGATAGCTTCATTTGAAATGGAGTTTAAAGTCTATGACGAATTCGGCTTGATGTCATCAACAGTCTGAAAACGGCGTCTTTTCGGCATCGATTTTAATTTCAGAAATAAGAAAAAATCGCAAGGAGCCAGGTCTGGCGAGTAAGGAGGGTGAGAGAGAAAAATAATCTGATTTTTGGGGCAAAACTGACGAACCAACAAAGCTGAGTGTGCAGGCACATTGTCGTGGTGCAAGAACCATTAGTTGTTTCGCCACAGCTCTGCCACGTAACCGTTGTAAAACGTATTGATAGTACAAATTTTTTACCGTGGGGTAAGAATTCAAAATGCCCAGTGGGGTCATTCAGTAAATTTTGAAAACCATTCTTATGTTGTATACACAAAGTATTGCTCATGATTTGGAGATTCTGAAAATTTCAACTCAATCCGTTGAGCGGTTTTCAAGCTATATGATTTTTTTAAATGCGAATATTTGTCTCAGCCGTGGCAATGCAATGACGTCACCGCATGGGACGGTCAGTCGGCTTGGCGCTACTTCCAGAGTTTCTGCATCTACAGATTGTTTTAGCGTTTGTCCATATTAAATTTAAAAAATGGAAGCAAATTTCGTAAGAGCAGATTCTTCTAATTTGCCAAAATTAGGTTTGTTAACGGTTAGAATTTTTTAATAAAAAACCACGACTTTATCAGTGTTGAGATGAGAGGAGTTAAAATGCAAAGGTTACGTTCCAACAACGCGTAAAGCTTCTTTAAAGTACGTTTGTAGCGAAAGTTTTGATGTTTTTGTACAATAAGAATAGTATACTTATAACAATAAGGATTTTGCGTTTAAATGGATGAAACATTTTATGTCGCAGATTTCAAAGATTTACCTAATTAAATACAAAATTTTTATTACTATTTTTATTCCCATGGAAACTATATAAAAGCTACCTAATATCTTATTATCTTATATTAATAATATAACATTTATTATGTATTTTTATATAAATACTTAGTACCTATAGGTACTTGTATAATGTTCTAGATCTAGAGGATACAAACGTATTTATTACATACCTAAATTACACAGGGTAGTTTTGTTGCTTTGAAAATAAGTCATTTTTCAAATAAAAGATAT